GGTGTGTGAGATGAGGGAGGTGTGGGGGGGCGCACGCGGGTGTGTGAGATGAGGGAGGTGGGGGCGCGCACGCGGGTGTGTGAGATGAGGGAGGTGTGGGGGGCGCACGCAGGTGTGTGAGATGAGGGAGGCCGGCGGAAGTGGAGGAGTCGAGCCGGGCGAGGGCACACTGGGGTGCGCCCTGACTCCCGCCCCGCCCCGCCCCAGGACGCCCCTGCACTACGCAGCCGCCAACGGCAGCTACCAGTGCGCGGTCACGCTGGTGACCGCCGGGGCAGGCGTCAACGAGGCCGACTGCAAAGGCTGCTCCCCGCTCCACTACGCCGCCGCCTCGGACACCTACAGGAGGTGAGGCCCCTCGCCCCGCCCGCGCCCGCGCCCCCGGGCCGCCCTGACTTCCCCTCCCGCCCCCAGGGCGGAGCCCCACTCGTCTCCCAGCCACGACGGCGGCGAGGAGGACGAGTCCCTGAGAGAGTCCCGCAGGAAGGAGGCCTTCTTGTGAGTAGCCGCCTGTCCCCCGTCCCGCGCCCGCTCGCGCCCGCGGCCACCCGGCCGGCCCAGTGCTGGGCAGCCGTGTTCGGACCGGGCCGAGCCCCCGGAGCAGGCGGAAGGGGGAGACGGCGCGTCCCCCGCAGGGACAGCTGGTCTTCTCGAGAGCATAGCAAAGCTAAACGAAATCTCGTTTGCTCCGTGGCTTTTAATTGAGCATTTACTTATTAGGTGTCGAGGACTGTTGAGTTCTTAGAATAAAAAATTGATCATCCCAAGTTTTGCCCTGTGAAAGCCAATGGTACATTGGGAGCGATAAACGGAAGCGTCAGACGCAGCCAGCCAGCCTGGGTTGGGGGCGTGGGAACTCCACTCCCGGGCTTCTTCCAGAAATCTAAGGGTGTTCTAAGGTGAAAAGTTTACTTAAAAAGGAGTATACTTAGGATCTGGAAAGCTCGCTGTTTGGCCTCCCGGAGCTCGCTTACCCTCTCTGAGCCTTGGCGCCCAGCCACAGCACGAAGCGGCGTGGCTGCTTCCCGGCCTTCCACACACGCGAGTGGCCCGGCGCAGCCCTGAGATGTAGACGTTGCTGGACACTGAGCTGGCGTTGCCGCTGGCTTGGCTGCCCGCCAGGCCGCCGCAGGGTGCCCGAGGACAGAGGAGGTCCGGGTCTGAGACGGGGTCGTGCACTCGGGACGATATCTAGGGGCGCAGAGGCTTGACGCCTGGGCCCCGCCGTCTGGGAGAGCAGTCAAGGCGCAGGCGCGCGGGGCGGAGGGGCCGGGCAGGCCTGGCGGGAGGGGGCTCTGCGCGGTCACGTGGGCAGGGGCCAGAGGCCCGTGTGAGGCGGGGGGGCCGTCTGCGGGCGCTGTGGCCAGCCCTCACGCCGCCTCCGCCCCCAGCTGTCTGGAGTTCCTGCTGGATAACGGTGCGGACCCCTCCCTGCGGGACAGGCAGGGTTACACAGCCGTGCACTATGCAGCCGCCTACGGCAACCGGCAGAACCTCGAACTGGTGAGCGAGGGGCCGTGCTGGGCGGGGCGGCCGGGCCTGTGCCCCAGGCAGGTGCTGTGTGGGTCGAGGGCTCAGCGGACTGACCGCGGGTGGGCGGCAGGGCTCGGGCGTGGGTATTCCAGAACCCCGGCCCTGACTGTGCTGTCCGTCGCAGCTCTTAGAAATGTCCTTTAACTGCCTGGAGGATGTGGAGAGCCCCATTCCAGTCAGCCCTTTGCACTTAGCTGTGAGTGTGGCGGCGCCCTCCCCGCGGTCCTTGTTCTGCCCTTGCGTGGGGGGCCTGTGGGCCGTGGGCTGGAGGGCCGGGCATCGCGTGGCCGCCGCCGCCCGGAGTCACCGAGGACAGGGCGGGTCCGTGTCTCGAGCCGCGTCCCTTGGTTGCCGTGTGCTCCAGGCCTACAACGGTCACTGTGAAGCCCTGAAGACACTGGCCGAGACGCTGGTGAACCTGGACGTGAGGGACCACAAGGGCCGGACTGCGCTCTTCCTGGCCACTGAGCGGGGCTCCACGGAGTGCGTGGAGGTGCTTACTGCCCACGGCGCCTCTGCCCTCGTCAAGGAGCGGAAGCGCAAGTGGACGCCCCTGCACGCTGCTGGTGAGCAGGCCTCGGCCTCCCCGTGCACGGTGCCTTGGAGACCCAGACGGCTCGGGGGGGGGTGAGGTGCTGGCGCGCGAGGGGTGGAACCCCATCCCCTGCCCAGGCCTTCTCCCTGCGCCAGGTCTTCCCAGAGGCTGCGCCCTCAGCTCCTTTAGGCTTGACCTGGCTGCCCCCTTCCCGTGGCCAGGGCCTCACACAGCCCCCCTTTTCCCTAGCTGCTTCTGGCCACACTGATTCCCTGCACTTGCTGATTGACAGTGGGGAGCGAGCTATCACAGATGTCATGGATGCCTATGGCCAGTGAGTGGGGGCTGGGGGGCGGGGCAGGCGTCCCCGTCCCTGCCGGGCCTCACGCTCCCGCCCGCCTCCTCCGTAGGACCCCGCTGATGCTGGCCATCATGAATGGCCACGTGGACTGTGTGCATCTGCTGCTAGAGAAAGGATCCACCGCCGATGCTGCTGACCTTCGGGGTCGCACTGCCCTGCACCGCGGGGTAAGCGGCGCTGGGGTCGCCCCGCAGCAGGGCCCACGCAGTGAAGCCCCAGCTTGGCCGGCCGGGGTCACCTTGGGCCCTCCTGCGTGACGGACGCAGCGAGGACCTGACCCCACACTGGTCTCCCTGTTGCCCTTGCTCGCTGATCAGAGACCGAGTGGCCCCCAACTCCCCAGGCCCCTGCGGGCCAGGCCCTTTGGTGCGCCCCCACCCGGCCCCGGCAGCATGGCCCGTTCCCCCGAGTGCGGCTGCCGCAGCCACGTCTCCCCGTGGCCCATGGGCCCCTGAGGCCCCTCACTGCTGTCACCGCACGGCAGAGCAGCCGCTCCGCTGCCAGCCTGCTGCTGAGGGTGCGGGGGCGCGATGTGTGGGCAAGCGGACAGGGCTGCAGCTGGCTGTGCGCCCTCCCGGGCCGCCCCGTGGCCACGGGCAGGGCGCGGTCCCCCCTCGCTCCCCTCAAGCCCCGCCCCGCCCCGCAGGCAGTGACTGGCTGTGAGGACTGCCTGGCCGCCCTGCTGGATCACGACGCGTTCGTGCTGTGCCGAGACTTCAAGGGGCGCACGCCCATTCACCTGGCCTCAGCCTGTGGCCACACCGCAGTGCTGCGGACGCTGCTGCAGGCTGCCCTGTCCACAGACCCCCTGGACGCCGGGGTGGACTACAGTGGCTACTCGCCCATGCACTGGGCCTCCTACACTGGTACGACCGGGGGCTGGGCCGGCCCGGGGCGCAGACAGCGGAGGGGCCTGCACCCCACGCCCACACCGCGCCTTCTTCCTCGTGCCAGGACATGAAGATTGTCTGGAGTTGTTACTTGAACACAGCCCGTTTTCATATCTGGAAGGAAACCCCTTCACCCCTTTGCACTGTGCAGTGTGAGTCCCCCTGCGACCCCCCGCCCGGGGCCTGGACCGGGCCGAGGTGGGCGGGCCACTGCCCTTTGCTTTCCTGCTGACCTTCCTCTGTCCCCAGAATTAATAACCAGGACAGCACCACAGAGATGCTGCTGGGAGCTCTGGGTGCCAAGATTGTGAACAGCCGAGATGCCAAAGGAAGGTGAGTGGCGGGAGCCTGGCGGGAGCCTGGCGGGAGCCTGGCGGGAGCCTGGCGGGAGCCTGGCGGGAGCCTGGCGGGAGCCTGGCGGGAGCCTGGCGGGA